CCTGACATGTACTCCTTCATACTTCTAAGCTGGTAACATAGCAGGCAGTAAAATTTTATAAACAAAGCAGTCTTGTCAATAATAAAATGAATTCATTACCAAAAGTTAGGTACAAACATGGTTACTTTTCAACATAATCACTGTGAAGATTGAGGAATTTGTCATATCTGTGGTTGAGCTGTAAATCTGTGGATGCTTGTGAATTTCACTGAAAAAGAAAAATGCTAGAAAAGCTCTTATTTGATGGAATCATTGTTTTTGTTCAAATAATGAACTGATACAAAATTGGTATGTTAAAGCCAGCTTGTGATAAACAGAAAACATTGATCTTGATTCCAAAAATTAATAGTAGCTTTACAGCAGTGATTCCCAAACTTTTCCATCCACTGCCCCCTTTGTTCCATAAAGTTATACCCAATGCTCCCTAAGCCATTTTCTCTTGTGTGAGAAAGGATTGGAAATATTCTTAGGAAAACTTTTCTATGAATCTCACACTTTGTGCCCTTACCGTACATTGTTCTCAACATCTGGAAACCATTAAATGCAATGTTTCCAGTGACCCCAATTTTGCTTTTGGTCACCATTCAATACCCTGCCTCCAGCGTCACCCCCAAATTTACTCATTGCTCACAAGGGGGCATTATTGCTCACTTTGAGAAACACTGCTTTACAGTTTTTTATATCTTGTTATTCTCTTCTTTTGTAGTAAAGATGAATTTTGTCTCTGTTACATTAATAACATTAAACTACAAGCCTGAGATCCATTCTTAAATCAAATTTCTTGACAACTATGGAAAAGAAAGCTATTTCTATTCCTGAAATAAGATCAAAGAGAAAGCTAAAGTCTAAACCTCCAATTAGAAAGTTATAAGTTGGTATTTAAACCAGTCATCAAGAAACATCATTTTTGCAATGTGCTATTTTGCAATCTGATTTTAACAAGTTACCATATCAAGGGCTAAAAACAATCTGTAATCCACCCATAATTTTGCTGTCTGAATCAGTTATAACTTGGTCACAACTTGAAATCAAACACATGAATGTATAGAAAGCATTAACAGTGAATTTGGAAATCATCTCAGTTACTGTTAATGAACTACAGTAGATAGCAAGCACAAGTTGTAAGAGCATGACAGGCTTTTATTGCATGTTATATTCTATTACAATGGAATATAAAAATTAACATATTTTTAGAAATTTATCACTAGTTTGCGGCAACCTTAAATTATTTTCTTCTTTTATAAGTACTAGAATTTCTCATTTCTTAGTTATTTGCTTGTCCCAGGATTTTGGGGAAAAAGTGAACTGTTTCCTGGGATCCGGGAAACAGTTCACTTTTTTGCCGATTAAGATATACAATATCTTGAAATCAAATGATATACAGTAAACTCCCGATTATCCATGTGCAGATTATCTGTGCATGAATTTAATTTTAAAAAAATAATTATACATGTATGTATTTTTTAAACAGTTGCTTGCTTTCATGTTTACGCATCCTGTAAGTGTGTACATGTTCGTATTTAGATGTTTGAAGCGGGTGGTGGAGGTATCTGAAGTTAGCTGGACTGGTTTTAGTTAGGCCTCTTCTTTCGCACCAGACGTTTCTTTTCGGAGGAGAAAACGATAATGAGTACATTTATATAAAGTTTCGTGTTGCATGTTATAATACATATAACAATTTAAGATTTGATTATATGTACAGTACATATGTATAATACATATTATGCATAATATTTTTTTCAAATAACTCTCCCACAAATACTTTTAGTGTAAAATTACATAAAATAAGATATATTTTGAAATTTTCAGATAAGTACCCTTAAAATGCCTAATCTAATAATCGAAAGAAAGTCGTACTTACTATGAAACAAAAACTAACGTTAATTGAAAAATTTGAAAAAGGCGAATTTACATGTTGTATTTTAGAAATAAATAATTATAGTTCGGATTATCCATGCCACCTCTCCCCACCATTAGCCCAGATAATCGGGAGTTTACTGTAATTATTTTTCATTTTTTAAAGTAATCTAATATATTCTGCAACCTCCAAAATCATATTAATAATGCTGTGTAAGATATATATTAAAAATTATCTTTGAATTACATAGAAATTTTCACAAATAGAAAAAATGTATTAAAGTTTGCTGAAAACTGCATACAACAACAAAAAAATGCTTTGAACTGAGTTGGAAAAAAAAAACAAGAACAACTCAGATCAAACTTCTAACTTTTGTTTTTTAAATAAAACATAATACAAAAGTTTAAATACTGGCCTCCCTTCAATGGTCGAGCTATGTTGCCAGCTAAAACATGCAAAAATTTATAAAAAATTATATTAAAGTAGCCAAGACATAGCCAAATATTGTAGTGCCACATCACTAGCGGACAATTGAAATTTGCCGACTAGAACGGTCGGTTAACCGAGGTGACGGTTAATCGGGGGTCGGATAATCGATGCTCTACTGTATTTCAAAAAGAAAAAAAATATTGTTTTCTTTTAAAATAATTTTACAATTTGTATTGTAATATTTGAATGTAGAAAACCTTTCTAAAGTAAGATTCACTATACAGTCACATTGCTCTATTAACTAATTAATTCCCTACTGGTAGGATTTCTCATTTCCCAGTCTTTTGCATATCCTGGAATTTCGGGAAAAAAGTGAACTGTTTCCCGGGATAGAATTAATTATTTTTAAGATATACAAAATATCTTGAAGGATAATTTTCATTTTTTAAATAAAACATAATACAAAATGTTAATGTTAATTTTTATAATAAGATTTTAAAAAGCAAAGATGGTCAATACTCCGATCATGCAATCTGATTCTTATTTTAGTAATAAAAAGTCCTGCTATCGAGAATGCCCTTTCTGATTCAACTGATGTAAGTGTATTTAAGAGAAGACAGATGTTCTGTGATTTTTCACCTGTAGCCTGGAATTCTGGATTTCTAGTTTACTTCTTTTGCTCTCTAGTATTCTTGATTTATCTGCCTTGACTGCTTTAATAGAAACATCAAGCTTATAGCCCAATAATTCAGCAGTTTGTTTGTCTTTAATAATCAGGTTTATGAAGAAAAACTTCATACATGCAGACTTCATACTCATTTGTATCCTTCCCAATTTGCACACCTGGCATAATGCAGTTATTGAAGCTACTGGGCATGGTTAAAAATTAAGACAGCATAAGCACAATTATTCCAGATATAGGTTCTAACAAGTAAACAATTTTCAGTGTCTTGCCACAAATAAGCTACATATTGATTATTGACCATTTGTGACATGCCATAACTAGCAAAAATTTAAAAACTAATAAATACAAATGTATTGACAGTTAATTATACTTTCTATTTGCAAAATTTTCTCAACTTTAACACAAAATAAGAAAAAAATGAACTTTTAAGAAATTTGCGGGATTTCCCGGGTTAAAAAAACAACCAGAATCCTGTTTGTGAAACCCTAATAAGTACAGTAGAGCGTCGTTTATCCGAAGGAATTCCAGTCGACAAATTTAAATTTTCGCCAGTGCTGTGGTGCTGTAATCTTTGGCTATGTCTTCGGCTACTCAAATATTTTACGTTTTTGATACTAAATTTAACTTCTGAAGTATAATTTTTTATTGTTTTTATATTTTTCAATATATTTATTTTGTTTGTACAAAATAAAGAAATAATTTTTAATGATACAATAGCCATGATTATTATTTTAAAAAATTTACGTTAGGCTTAACATCGACGAAAATTCAATACGAAGCGACACACAACGGAGAAAAATTTCAACACGGGATAAATTAATATATTTTTTCGTACATAATTGGTTATCCGAACAACCCCAGTCCCCAATTGATTCGGATAAACGACGCTCTACTGTACTTATAAAAGAAGAAAATACTTTAAGGCTGCCGCAAATTAGGCAATGCCGTTGGTTTTGACATGATGTCAAAGGCAATTTTTATGGTCATGTGACTGTTTTGCTTTGACAATTGGACAAATTTGCCACTTGTGATATCACTCCAGATGTAGTTCCATAGAACCAATGAACATTTCATCTACCACTTTACAAACTATTACTCAGTAATTTGTTTTGTAAAATGACGACAACTTCGTAGTTGATGTTAGCTTTGGATGTTCCATTTATCTATCAGAAATTTAATAAGTAAACGAAAATGAAAGCAAAATCAAGAACCAGACAGATTTATAAATTTTGACAAAATCAATGAAATATTTTATATTCTCAATTCTATGAAAATCTATCCAACAGTTCTGTTTCATAACCTCACTGTAGCCAAGACCATGGCCAAAACAAAGCACAAACACACTCTTTCTCATGCTCCTTTCTTGAAAACTTTAAAATGCACACAAGTGTCATCGATTGCCGCCCGAAAAATCTAATTTCTTGGATCCGAGAGGTATTGAACGAATGGTCTACTTTTCATCGAAGGATAAGACAGAGTGACTAAGTCAATAACAGGCAATCAAATAGTCACCAAGCAGGCGACGATCAAACTAATTTGCTTCAATATTGCCTAATTTGCAGTGGCCCTTACAGAGCAAATATTTTTCTTCAAGATTCTCACTTTTTAAAATTTCGCATCCAATAATCACCTCTTGAAAAATATAGGTATAAATAATACGCGTCAAAATTGTTTAGTAGTACATATTAATTATCTCGCCTTCTTATAACGTAATAACACGGATTTAAGGAAATACAATTCCTTAAAATAAATTTCGCTAGAAATCACTAATAAATAAAAAACAATATAATATTTAATAACTAAAATTAAGGTAATATTAAAAACATTTCAATTCTTTGTAGCAATTATATTTGTAAATTAATAATATAAAAAGTTACTTTAACACCACATGTAATATCGAGTTCAGACCGCCATTTTGAGAGAACACGCGGCTTACAAATTAATTTACTACTTTTTAAGAAACTTAATATACAATCATAAGGATTTCTATTAATATAAAACAAGAGACTACTTTACAGTAAATCTAACCTTAATAATAATTCAAAAAATATTCTTCTCTTGGCAGAACAACAAAGTGAAACTTGTGAAACCTCAAACACACCGAAAACTGCCGTACAGTTCACGAAAATGGATGACAAATGTCGTCACTCAGACTGACGAATTACAGGAATAGAAAAAAAATAATTAAAAAAAATAGCCCAAAAATAATTTTTACCAAAAGTATTATCGAACATTTTAAAATGAATAAATTATTCTAAATTTAAAAAACTTTCAAATAATATTACAAAAAAAACTGCTTATTAATACTAATTTAAAATTTTGACAGATATACGGTAAATTGAGATTTATAAAAGAAATTAAGATTAATTTATGAAAGAAAATAATAATAATTCGAAGATATAAGCCTTAAGTGAAATGTTAGTTTCACATTTTTTTCTAATAAATTGCTGCAAAATACTGTCATCATCGACGTTTGATTCAATGTTTTGTTCTATAACTGAAATTATTGTACAAATTTCAAAATTGATATATTTATTGTTTCGTAACATATCAGAAGACAAGTTTAGATGATTGATCTCAATTTCATCCGTTATTTAACCACAGCTTTGATATCAATCAATGGCAGATCCAGAAGAATACAAAGTCGGCTAACTTAACGGCCAGATGGCCGAACAGTCTGAGGACCTAGAATCAAATCCCAATGGGCCGAAAAAACCCCAGGAATTTTTCAGATGAGGCTCCGTCTGATATGTCGGGCCCTGTCCCTCACCACCCGGCCGCAGTGTTATAAGCCTGGCCGAACCCATAATGGGATTAAATCTGATGGGAAGTAAAAAAAAGATCATAGTGCCCACAATGCAGAAAGAGTTAAGTAAAAGTGAACTAACTCAAAAAATGAAATATTTTTGAATAATTAATAAGAACCTTATGTTAAAAATGCACGACGATTGTATTGAGGATGGTCCAATAAACATTATATGCTATCGTAAATATATTTAAAAACAATGTTTTGAATTTCAAACAAATATTGTAGATTTTAAAAATTTTGTGTGTCAACCGGGAAGGCTTAAAAGCTCCTGCAGCCCCCATGGATTGGCTCTGCTATCAATCAATATTTCAAACCAGTCATATATCGTTTGTATATACTGTATGTCTTTCCAACGCAAGCAACGTCATCGACTAGCATTGGCGAGATTTAATAGAATGTCCAATTTAAGTCATTTATAAAATGAGACACATTATTCCAAACTGTGTCTTATCCTTTTTCTTTTTAATTTTCAGTACTCAATAAAGTCTTTTAGATCTTTAAATTTGACAACTCTAACATTGGTTCGTATATCTTCATGAACATTTTGACGGCCTGATGTGAGCAGTCAAGAAGGCAGCCGCCGCTCTAGGGGACCCGGGATCGAATCCGGACAGGTCGAAAAATCCCCAGGAAATTTTCGGGGGTGGTCCATCTGGATATGTGGGGCCCCGTCCCTCACCACCCGGCCGCCCCATTGTGGATCTGGCAGAACCCATAATGGGCTTGCTAAAAGAGACCCTCTTAGTGCCCATAGGGCGGAAAGAGTTAGAAAAAACCCTCATGAACATGATGTAAACTATTAGCCAATAAAATTATAATTTCAACGGAAAATATGAAAGATATTGAAGTTTGTAAAATGGATAGTTAAATGTAAAAAGTCTGTTTGAATTTGCTGACTTTTGTAACGACAGTAAAATTAATAGCAATATACAACTAAACTTTGAAAAAACAAAATCCAGCAACGAATAAACTTGATTAAAATGATTAGAAGTAAACTTCCCGACTGAGATTTTATTTTAAAAAGTAACTTTTATATCATAAAGCATAAATAAAATTGTGGGTGGCACCATCTGTTATGAGATTTAGTTATAAAAAACTTTTTATATTTTAAATTACTATAAAATGACAAAAAGCTTAATTTTGAGGGTAGCTTTGAGTTTTGTAAAAAAAAAAAAAAAAAAAAAAAATAAAAATGTTAATAACCAATAAATCTTCATTAAGCTCGACCTCTTTCGAGACATGACATGTGACCATTCACTATTTACTCACCCCTCAACCTTTATTAAACCACCAAAATTTAATAGTATGAACGTCTCTTATATATAAGCGTCCATGCCAAATTTTGTTTCTTAATCTTTACCCCATCCTGAGATATTAAACGAAATAGACGCCAAAACACACATGTATCCATGGAATTTTTTCTCGTTTTTTTGACTTTTTTGAGTTCAGAAGTCTTAAAACGTGGACATTTGCAAAAAAAAAAAAAAAATTGAAGAATGAAATTTAGCACGATTCCAATACTTTTCCTTGTTTTGTACTGTGCACATACTGTACACATTCGGCTGTGTACACATGTACTCAGCCGAAAAAGTAAAATGCAGATTAAGGGCATGTTTGGATATTCCAGACTCTGGATATTCTAATCAGTAACACTGCGGTAGTGGTGACTGATGTCATCGGTCATAGCCGGTTATTCCGGACGATTAGCGCGTTTTTAAACACGCTGGTTATTTTGTGGTATTCGACATGGCGAAAGTCAAGAAGAGATAAGATTAATTCTATCATTGCTCTCGAATATTGATTCAGAATCATGTGACGATGATGATTTGACAAGATCATCAAAAGATGAAAATGAACTAGTAAAATGTTTTTAACAAGTATCGAAGAAAAATTTAACTTCGTTTAGTTTATATTGCGAAATCAATAATTTCGTAGCATTTGATGGCCATTTTCCATGCTGTCTTGCCTCATCTGAAATTTGGGATGGCATGGCTATCTGATCTTGGTCACTTTGTGTCGCAGAAACAAAATGTTGTTTTATTTTTTCTAAATTTTTAAAATCACTGCCACATTTGTCACACGATACAATGTGTCCGCCGTCTTATAATTCAATAGAGCCGCTGTAACCGCAGGACAACTGGTGACATCATAACAGTGATTTCTAAACGCGGTTAGTTATTTAGGTCACATTTTCTAAACGCCTTAGTAACTACCGCCAGTTACCAGTGTTACCGGTTACAATTTCCAAACGCGCCTCTAGTCGATTGCCTAGGGGTGTCAAGATATGGGGCGCCAGCAATACTCATAAACAAAAAAAAATTTAATTAAAAAAGTTTTTTTAATGGTTGTTATGATGCCATGAGTCATAAATCATCAGAAACATCGTGCGAATCCACCAACACAGACTCCTAGCGAGTTTTGGAGAAGATCACTAATTATTCCGTACATAGATTCATTAATAATGTCTTTGGAACAGTGTTTTTCTGAGGAGAACTTGCTCGCATTTTCATTGCTTACGTTGCACCCTCGCGTAATGCTTGATGTGATGTATGAAGATTTTTTTTAAACTATAATTTTTTGTAGTTAGTACAATTTGAATGATTTTCTCGGTGAAGCCGAACTTTGGTGCAACCAATGAAAAGGAAAAAAGTGCCAAATGTCAAACTGAAGGAGATAGAACTAGCTGCACTAGTTAAAGAAACGCAATTGTTCTATCCATCCATAAAACGGGCGCTACTTATCTCACCTGCACAGCCCTGCACAACATGCACTATCAAAAGATCCTTCAGCACTTTACGCAGGGTAAAAACTTGGATACGGTCAACAATGACAGAAAATCGGCTTATCGGTCTTTGTATGATGAGTGTGCATAGAAAGAAGGTTCTGGAAGCTAAAAATAAATTTGAGGAAGAAATTTTGACAAGGTTCAGCCAGAACTCCCGTAGGCTAGTGCTGAAATAAGATTTAGATAGATTCGAATAGCATAATTACTTTTAGCGTTTTCAAATGTTCAAATAAAACCATTTTTTAATATACAACGTTATCTTATTTTTGCCTCTCCTGGAGAAAATCCTGACTACGCCCTTGATGAAAAGAATTAATTCTTCAACTCATATTAGTCATGATTAGAAGTAGACTTTGAGAAAGCTCGAATCCGAGCAAAAATACAGAGAAAATGGACAGATCTGGAAAATAATTAATTCGTTGAAGAATAGATGTTTAAATAAATGGTACTTTTTAAATTAAAATTATTTTATTGAAATATTTATTATATTTATATTAAAAAAATTAAAATTATATAAATAAAAAATTGCAGTAAAATGAAACGATTCAACTACAAACTATTATTATTATTATTTTTTTTTTTATTGAATAACCGATGTGGCGCTCTCATCGCAAAATCGTGAGTTAAAAAATTAATAGGGTTTTGTTTTATTAAACCTTCCCAATTACAGATGTTATTGATTTAATCTGAATTTAATTTTAGATTAAATTATTTAATAATGTCGAGCGAAGACAATGTCACGGAGGATAAGAAAAATACAAAAGGAATTCCTACCATGCCTTTTGTAGTAAGTATGAGAAATTAAAAATTATCTTACGATTGAGGTTAATGTATGATTATTTCATTGATTCTGTTGAGTTTTATTACCAGTCTGAAGAAATTATAATTATTTATAAATGAAATATTATTGTGTGGAGAAGTTGTTCATTGTCTTTGCCTGTTAATTAAATCAATATTTAATATCTTTTTGTTTCTTGCAGCAATTGATAGCAGTTTTTGATTGAAATCATGTCATAAGATTAGTAATTTTTGCAAATTTCAATTCTATACATGCATAGCAAACTTACTGATACATATATCCTGCCCATTTCATATAAAATCTGAAAGTTTTATATCAACAAAATATTTATAAGTTGCTTAGTTATCAGATTATGGAATTTTTTATAATTACTACATCTGAAATTTGAAAAATGTGGCTGCAATTTGGAAAAAATTAATGCTGGAGAATAATCTGGAATTATATGACGATATAGAAAAATATATTGGATCAGACTGTGAAATCAATTTCTACATGAGCAGAAATCCAAAAGGAACAGAAAGTTCAATAGCAATTCTTCATGAAATAGCTTTGTCTAAAGTTCTTGCACCACTTCTGATTTGCCTGTCCACACCCAATAATTGATCTTATACTTTTTAAAAGGTTTTCCTCAACTATTTTCTTGAAAGAATGCTATAAAATGTATTTAAATGTATAAGTAAATATTTAAATTTTGCTATGGCTAATGCTATAGTTAATGCTGATATCTTTCAACATTAACTCTAACATTAAGTAACAGCAAATAACACTATGGTTGAATACTAATGCATCAGTCATATCATATAAACGTTTTTAGTTTCTCTTGTATTTAAAATTAAGCACTGTTTTAAGGTACTCTTCCAATTTTCTTATTTTAAAATTTTGATCAATTACAAGTCATTCATCACTGTAAGAAACAAGTTTTGAAAGACTATCTTGTGAAATTGCTTCTGGATACATGGTTCCTTTTTAAATTTTTTGTTCCTTTAGTGAAGGTCTTAGCAGGTAGTAAAGATGCCCAGTAAAGATAACATATTTCCGTATTTACTAAATCTTTTGTTAGTATTTTGCATATTCAGATAAAATCATTTTTTATTGTACCATATAATACCATTTTCCATGTTTACAGTGAAACCTCCATTAGCGGACACTCCCAAATAGCGGACACCTCTACTTAACAGACATTTTTACAATCCCCAGACCTTTCAAATAGGATATCTATTATATTTACCTCTAAATAGTGGACACACTCAATAACAGATATCGTCATCCATAATCAATCTTATGAAAATGTAATATCCCACCTTCAATATTCCAAAAGAATTAATTACGTATGAAACATTTTAAAACGAAAACAGAGAATCGGTTCAAATACTCTCTCAGAGGAAGAATTTTGACTGTAGGTATCAAATAAAGACTGGCTTAAAATAAGAATAGAATGAGGAGGACAGGTTATAGATATTCGAACAATATTCTTTATCTGTTAGGAGTTTAATCTGGTTAAGTTGTCAGTCACCATTTATCATTATACATATTAACATTATTAAATTTCTGTCTTACTGTTGGAAGCCTTCTTCTTCTTTATGTGTCTTCTCCTGTCAGGAGGTTGACAACCATTTCATGCCACCATGACCTATCTTGTGCTTCTCTTGAGCACTCTTCATACGTTAAGTATGTCCAATTCCTGATGTTGCTGAACCAGTTCTTTCTTGGCCTACCCCTACCTCTTTGCCCTTCTATCATTCCCTCTAGTAATAGTTTTTGTAGGCTGTTGTGTCGCATAACATGACCCAGATATCTCACAATTCTTTTCCTTACTACTTCTAATAAGGTCCTTTTCTGGTTTGCAATTGCCAGGATATCTTCATTTGTTCTTCTTGCCTTCCAAGAAACTCTCAGCATTCTCCGAATCATCCACATTTCAAATGCCTTTAATTTCTTTTCATTACTTGCATTCATTGTCCAACACTCTGCTCCATAAAGCAGGGTTGACCAAACATAACATTTTGCCAACCTAATTCTTGTTTTTATACTAATTTCCCTTGAAGTCAGCACTTGTTTCATGTTTGTGAATGCAGTCCTTGCAATTCCAATCCTTCTTCCAATTTCCTTATCACTCCTTCCATCATCTGTAATCATATATCCCAGATAGACATAACTTTTGACCTGCTCCAGTTTACTGTTTCTGATTTTAATATTTAATCTTGGAGTTTCTTTTTCATTGGAAATGATCATAGTTTTGGTCTTTTTGCAGTTCAGTGTTAGTCCGAGTTGATTGCTCAAGTTTGTAATTTCCTCAATCAGTATCATTAGATCTCCTTCACTTTCTGCCAATAGCACAGTGTCATCAGCATACCTAAGATTATTGAAATTTCTGCCCCCTATGTTAACTCCTTTTAGATCTTTCACCTGACTGAAAATTCTTTCTGTATAAAGATTGAACAAAATTGGAGACAGCACACAACCTTGCCTAACTCCTTTTTGAATTGGGAAGCTTTGCGAACATTCTTTGCCAATCCTTATTGTAGCCCTCTGTCCCCAGTATAAATTGGCAAGTAATCTGACATCCTTTCCATCCATACCATTTTCTACTAGACATCTAATAAGGTAATCATGTTTCACATTGTCAAATGCCTTTGTATAGTCTATAAAACAGAGAAAAATATTCTTCTGTTTTTCCCTATATCTTTCAATAATAGTTTTCAGGTTGAAAATACCTTCTCTTGTTCCTTTATTCTCCTGGAATCCACTTTGTGTTTCACTAATGCCTTCTGTCCATCTTCCCTTGTTTCTATTTAACAAGATATAAGTTAGAACCTTTGCCACATGACTAATTAGGCTTATGGTTCTAAACTCCTCACATTTAATTGCTTTTGATTTTTTGGGGATTGGAACAAATATTGACTGTTTGAAGTCTTCAGGAAGGTATCCCAGTTCATAGATGTCGTTACATAACTTAGTCAGGGTTTTGATTCCTCCATCATCTAGAGCTTTAATCCATTCTGGTTCTATATTGTCAGGTCCAGCAGCCTTACTGGGTTTAAGTTTACCAATGGCTTTTACAACTTCCCATTTGAGTATTGGAGGACCTTCTAACTCCCTGGGAGACTCGATCTTCTCCCTGTCGCCTTGGAATAATTCCTTTCCATACTCATACCACCTTTTCATTATTTCCTCTGTCTCCAAGACTATTTTCCCGTTTAAATCTCTTATACCATGTGCCTGAAAATTCCGTTTCTTAAAAGTTACTTCTCTGATTTTTTCATGGAGTTCTTTTATTTTATTTTCTTTGTCCAAACTTTCAATTTCTTCGCATTTTTTGTTAAGCCACTCTTCTTTGGCCTTTCTACACTCTCTTTTTATAGATCTTGCTAAATTCTTATAACCTGGTTTATTTTTCAAACTTTTCCTATTCTCCATCATTGTTAGAATTTCATCAGTCATCCAAGGCTTGCTAATTTTCCTACTGTACTCTGGGATGTTATTATTAGCAGCTCTACTTATACATTTCTTAAAGGCATTCCATGCTTCATTAATATCCTCTATTGATTGATTATATTCTTTAATTATTTTATTCTTATTGATCTCCCTATTGAATTCTTCATTAAATTTTATTTTTATGTTCTCTTCCTTTAGTGTTGCTGAATTTAACTTCTTTGATACAATCTTTTGCTTACAGGTTTTTAGTTTAATTTTTGCTTTCACTACAACTGGGTTATGGTCAGAATTAATATCTGCTCCAGGATATGACTTGGCTTGTTTTATAATATTTCTGAATCTTTCCTTTATCAAAATGAAGTCTATTTGATTCCTGTATATGTCCCCTGGACTTTTCCATGTATACACTCTTCTTGCTGGATGTTTAAACAGGGTGTTGGTGATTATCAACTTATTTTCCTCACAAAACTGAATGAGTCTATCTCCTCTTTTATTTCTCTTACCAAGTCCATATTGGCCCATGCATTCCGATATCTTCTCATTGCCCACTTTTGCGTTAAAATCGCCCATAACTATGATTATATCATTTGATTTTGCCATTTCCACCGATTCCTTCAGATTTTCGTAGAATATCTCAACATCTTCTTCCTCATGTCCAGCTGTGGGAGCATAAACCTGGATTAGGAGAATGTCTAAAGGTTGAGCAGCTATCTTTACTGCAATGATTCTATCATTGACTGCAGTGAAGCCTTTTATTGATCTTGCTATACTATTCTTCATAATGATGGCTACTCCATTTACATGTGTCTCTACTCCTGAGTACATCATTGTATATTCATTCTTGTAAATCATTCCTGTGCCTGTCCATCTTGTTTCACAAATACCCATAACATCTAGCCTCATTGACTTTATTTCTTGAATGAGATTATCAAGTTTTCCTAGTTCATACAGTGTTCTAACATTCCAAGTTCCTATGTTAAGTAGTACATTCCTGGTCTTCAGTTTGGGGACTTCTGATATCATCCTCCCAAGTGGGGTTAAGATGGTCTCTTCATATTCTCTAATATTAGAGTCAAACTTACTATTCTCAGGACATGACTCCTCTTCCCTGTAGCATACATTAGAGACACAGTTCGCAGGGGGCTCGACCTTGTCTCTATAACTGATTCTTTTAGTGGTAGCGGTTCTCATGGTTTACTATGGTGGAGAATACGTGGTGAGGCTCCAATCTCTTCCACGGTGACTGGCCACATTTCACTTTGTATGCCATGAATGTGCCCTTGGTATGTCACCTACTTTGCTGTCATGCCCATTACACCATTGATCTTTGATAGTAGATTCTTCTGCTGCTTTGGCCATTCCAGATTTCGTGCACTATAGAGTGGCACACCCTAACTACCAGTAGCAGATGGCACTACTGATACCCTCACTTAGTTTAGCCCACCAGCCGAGGCGGTTTCCCAGGGTGTGGCCGTTGGCATGCACTACCAACTACTTGGAGCCATAAATGAGAGTTGGGTCCTCATGGGGAACAGTCTACAGTGTCCACTCTTTCAGTGCGGCTGACACTTTCGAAAGTTACTACCCCTCTAAGAACCCCATACACCCCGTTGGAAGCCTATGATACTAAAAAACTATAAACTTTTTCAAAGTTATTCATTTATTCAACAAGAACCATAGTAATGAAAAAGAAACTTAAGATTATAAATGCAAGAAAACTGAATATCTTCCCACACTTTAAAGTGTTTGGCAAATTGTCTTTATAACACCATCTTTGAACTTTCACCAAACAAATGCTGTTGTAACTGTTTTAACAGCTTTATAATGCCTAAAGTGTAATTTTTAATAAATCAGTTACTGAAAAAAGCAAAAATGTTCAAAAAGTTACTCCTTGATAACTACACAGCAGACAAATCCTTATACAGTGGTACCTCAGGATACGAAATTAATCCGTTCCGAAACTGAGATCGTATCATGAAAATGTCGTAAGGTGGATCATCTTTTCCCATACGATTATATGTAAAACCAAATAATTCGTTCCAACGCGAAAAACATACTCAAATTAAAGCCAAGTAATACATAAAAAAAAATAACTGTAGTAAGAAAAACAAATGAAAAATGCGAACTAATGTAACGTCGTATGGTGAGTTTTTGTTCGTATCGTGGAGCAAAAATATGTTCGAATTTCATGTCGTATCCTGAAAATTTCGTATGCTGGGGCATTCGTAACCTGAGGTACCACTGTATTGATTTTTATTAGTCACTTAGATCATAAATGATGATATAAATTTAACAATACCAAATATATTTCCCACCCCTTGAAGTGGATAACAAATTGCCTTCGTAACTTGATATTTGAACAAGATTTAATTAAAACGAGATTTTTACAGCTGAAAAAATAAATAATATACTGTATATATATTTTTATTATATATGCTACATATACTTTTCGGTATAGTCACATTCCTAATGTAAATTTGATGTTTTTCGTAATCCATTGTATTCTTCACTTTATGATGATTAGGTTAAGATACAGTATAGCCACCAGCATGTACTTCCAAATAGAGGACAAATTTCTCGGTTCCAATCTCTATTCGGAGATTACACTGTGTATATATGTGTATACACATGCATACATTATTTTTCTTTTTACATACAAGCATTTCATTTATACTTCCTTCTGATAAAATGTTAGTTTTTTAGAAATAAAAACTATTGGAACAATATTTGAAAGTTTGTTTGATATTGAAATGATTTGAGAAATTCAATGAGAATGATATTTACTGTATTATAGCCAAATGAGATCATGGAATGTGTAAAAGTTGCTTCAATTAAAATTGACAATACAAAGTTTCATAATGAATAAAAATGTTCTTCTGATTACAGTAATACCTTGTTTTTCGTTGACTTCGGTTATCGTCAGTTTTGGTTTCTGTTGATTTTTTTTTTAAATACTTGTAAAAAATAATTATACTTTGAGGAATAAGAAAGACTGTGTGAGAAGCAAGCAGGTAGATTTCGCAAACACTTTCTAGCTGCACCAGGAACAAGATGTTTTGAATATATGTTATACTAAAATAAAACTATTTTTGTATTCATTTATGCAAGTTTTTTTTTATCCTTTATAGTCAGATATTCATTGCATGATATTCTAAATCATCTTAAAATTATTCCCTTTTGCTGTCTTTGCACTTGGGAGAAACTGGGAAAATTTATATTTGCCCTGAGACTAACATGTGATGTAAGCATTCTTTTGAACAAATTAATGTGTGTTATTGTAAACATGGCAATAGTTTATGTGCATCATATGGCATCATATGTATATGCATATACTCATGCAATGCTGGAAATATCTCTTGTCCCTGGATAAATGTTAAAAATGAACATTGTATATTTTTTTTCTTTGATAGGAAACTTAATATGATAGGATTGTCCTATAGGATTTTGTCTGGTAGAATTCTGTAACTAAGCCTACTGAATATATTTGATGATGCTGAAATAAAAAAATTTGAAATTAATAAAAGAAACCATTTCAAAATTACTTCCATTATACTTAACTGAGATGACTTGGCAGTGTCTAAACATTTGAAATAGACTTTTGTTAACTATTTATAGAAAACTGAAAAACTTGATTAACTGCATTCCACTATGTTTGTTGTATATATAATAAAATATTCATTTTAATTTAACAATAAAACTACTTTTTTCAGAATTATGAAATTATTTTATCAAGATAGAATAAATTCCAAATTTTGTATTTAATACAAAATCTGGAATTTAATAGTTTCGTAATATTAAAAAATAATACTCTAATTTACTAATAAAATTTTTTCAAAATTTCCTTATAGTAATTGAATACTATTTTTTAACAGTGTTTTCAAGAAGTATTCTTAGCTCAGAATTCTTGTTTTGAATATAAGTTTTCATATTCAAATATTCAAAATCAGATTTTCTTTTACTCTTTCTGCTTAATAGGCTCTAAGCCATTTTCAGATTCATCATGAGTTTGGTCTTGAAAGTACTTAGATGATACTAAGCTTCCTTGTAGGAATTTAACAGTAACTAGATTTTGTTGGCAAACAAAATTGTAGCCTGGCATTGACATCATCACAATGTTAAACTGTAATTTTTAATCATATTTTAATACATCACATGACTTCCAGTCCAAACTGGAAGTTTGTATGTAGTAATTAGGGCCTCTGGCTCTTAAGATTTTCATATCTGGTCTAGATATTCATTTATCTAATTCTGTTCTCAAGATTAAGGAATGACAGACAGGCAAATGACAGTGGGAATCTATAGGTCTGCAATTTGAAAACTGTAGCCCAATAAATTATAAAAGAAAAAGATATGTGAGGTAGTTGGTAAAATGGGAAGAAAGATAAAATTTACAATTTTGATTTATTGTAAATGTGTCTTATGACAAAGCTAATTAGTGTATTCCTGTATATTTAAACTTAATATATTAGAAGACAGTGCTTTATGCATTATGAAAGATATTGATACAATATGGATCTCTAGAGTCCTAGGCAAAATAAACTATGGAATCTATCCCATCATACATCCTATATTTAAATATAGGATATCCTATATGTAAAATATATTTTTTAACAAATTACATTTGGATAATAATCAAATACATTTTTAATTTTTAAGTAGTCGTACTTTTCAATATTAATGTGTTTTTTTGTTGATTAATTCATTAAAAAAATTTTGAAATGCCCTAAAATTGGGGCCTTAAGCAAATGTCTTTTTTGCCTGTGGTTTAATGCATCACTAGAGATTTGATATCTTAAAACATTTATCAGTATTTTTAAATGAAAAGTTAATCTCAAAATTCAAATAGATATTATCCTTAATGTTAAGGCTATCATAAAATGTTAATTATAATTGTACAGATAGCTGAATCATATCAGATTAAATTTTTATGTATTATTATTTTGAATAGGATGATGTTGACAAGTATATGAAAAGAGAAGAAAGTCGTGGTAGTGCTGAATTTGTTTTAAGAAGACTTGATGAACAACATAGCAAATATAAATTTTTAGAATGTAATCTTTTACAAAAAAAGAAAAGGTAACTTTATATTTGATAAGTTGAAAACATTTTGATATTATGTGAATTCTTAAATACTGTTGAGTTTTGTTTACATGTGGACAATTTTTTTGCAATTTTGGTAGATTAAAGAAACAAATCCCTGATATCAAAATATCACTTGATATATTGAAGTTGATGAAAAGTAAAAAGGTAAAAGTTTTTTACTAAAACTATATTTTGATTTTAATAATCTTACTTGATGAGTTTTAAATGAAATTTTACACATATTTTTGTAAAATGCATACTGTAAATATTCATAATTTTGTAACTAAGATTTTTGGTTATTTTATATCTAATTGTTAATGTTTTTTATTGTGTAGATACAAAAATGTCTTATAATTTGAAAAAGTTAACTTAATACATCATTTTAATTTTAGATCAATTGAGGGCTTTAGTGGTAAACAGCCCTGTTTTGTCTGCATTGTAGATTTGATCAGGACTAAATTTCTGCAACAATTCAAGCAACTTAGTTGATTATCATTGTTCAGTACTTGTAGTATCAGCACTGTTTTTCACCATGTTCTCTTAAATTTTATTTCATGTTCGGTTTTCCATTGTAATAACCATTGTGTAGCTTTGAAATTTATGTGACCCATCTTTGTAGCTAACTCTTCTAATTTGGTTTTGAACATTGGCCCATTAACACTTTACTGCATATGCTGTCTTGATAAAGTGATAGACTGTTCCAAATAAGTGAAGTAAATTTGCCTTACATTATCCTTTTTGTTTCTGTCTTTCAGTACATATCCCAATAAATTAGCATCCTAGTTAACCTATTCCATGTTGTAATTTTTCTCCGAAATTTTTTGAAGCAATTCAATCACCTTTGTCACTGCTCATGCACAAGAAAATCGCCTTCCAGATAGAATCGCTTTCAAGTACTTTGGCAACAGAATACTGGGACAATGTATATTTTCACCTGGCGATTCTGTTGCAACCAATCAACATGCAGCATCCATAATTCCAAGTGTATGTGACATCACATTTTTACCCATCATCCTTAGAACTATATACAGCATAGTGTGGAAATTTCAAAAAAGTGCAAAAAAATAGCAAATATTAGATTTTAAAAAATTAAATACAAAATTAAGTTGAAAAATATAAAACTTTATTTTAAGTTGAAAGTTTTGTGTCATTTTAAAAAATTTTCATAATTCATTGGAAATCATTTTCCATTTTGCATAAAGTGTGTAGGCACATAGAGCAGCAATTGTGTCTCTCTATGAATCATCAAGTGACGGTGATGCAATCACACTAAGTGGAGAGCCAACATGAGGCTTTTAAAACAAAAATATGTTTTAAATATAAAAAAAGCAAGTAATTCTGGATAGAATGGACATGCAAGGAGCACTGGCAAAGATGAAGTGCAGGAGGTTCTGAAAGTTCTTCATTTTGGATAATGAATCTTACTTCACCCTCTTGCACTTGATAATCAGTGGTAATGGTGAAATTTATATCACTTATATCTGCTGAGGAAAATTTACCAAGAAAAAGGAATTTGAGGACAAAGTTTTGATTTGGCCAGCAAAAACCAGCAAAAACAAAAAACTAATGTTTTTTTTAGAATGTTCTGTTCTAAGATTTTAATTTTTAATTTTTTGTTCATCCATTTAAGTTTCATTAGTTAAACCTGATGATGTCAGTTATAAACAGAAGAAAATGTTAGTTAAGGTAAAAGTTTTTTGTTTCTGCTAGTTATCAGTCTTGGTAGTATGATTTAAAACTATATCAAATTACTTGTAACAAGAAAGCATGACCTTCATTGAAAAGAAGGCAGTCCTGTAAGTATGCTAGAAATTAGACCAATGGAGAATTTTTGGGCAGTTCACAAGGCAGTCATATATGAAAAGGAGTGGAAGAAAAAAAAACCATGGATCAACTGATCAATCACATAAAGTGCTGCTGAAAAATGTAAACTAAAGTCTTGTACAGAAACACTTCACACCTGTTACTGGAAATTTATCAGCTTTTAAGAAAGAAATTCAAGTCTGAATGTTTAATAATGTCTATTAAAACAAGAATTGAACTTAAAGAAAAATGATTAGGAGAGAACTAAAGTATGTCTTTGATAGTTCTTGGAAAGACTTCGTGGTAGCAAAGAATGTGCTTGTGGCGCACAAGTGATTTTTCATATTTTCTAAAGATACATACTGTTAGTGACTTTAGACAAAGGAAAAGTTAAAATTTGTAATTGCAGTTTAAAATTGGCATATAAACCATATCCACTTTTAAATTGATATTAATATAATTTTGTGCAGACGATACACAAATTATATGCATCAAATTACTGTAATTTAATAGTTATTTGAATCTATGATTTTTTAAATTATATAATGTACTTAAATGTAGTGATTAATTTTTTTTTATTAAATTTATTATTATAGAATTCAACAAGTCCAGTAGAAACACAGTTTTTGCTTTCAGATCAAGTTTATGTTAAAGCTAAAATTCCTCCAACAGAAACTGTTTGTTTATGGCTTGGGGTAAGTAATAAATTATTCTCTCTTACAGAAGTGGGCAACATTTTTAAGTGATCATGTCAAAATCAATCAAAATCAAAATCTGTGATGCAAAATTTCTCACGTGCGAACTGAAATTTCTGGGAGTATATTAGTACTTAATTTTTTTTTTTTTTTTAAGTTTTGAGAAAATTTTTTAAATAATTAATTAAAAGTCCACATACGAGGGCAGGCTGAAAAGTAATGCACACATGCTTGTAGAACATGAACAAAAACAAATAGCAATATCAGGCAAAAAGTACATTAAAGTACAATTCTTAAGCTTCAAAATCATATATTTATTTTTCAACATAGTCACCATTAAGGCTAACAAATTTCTCCAACGTGTAACAAGTTTTTTCATTCCATCACTGAAAAATTCTTCTAACTTTTCTCGAATCCAGGACTTGTCAGCTGCTTTCACCTCATCGTCAGGTGTAATGATTACCCTTGAGGTCTCTCTTAAGTAGAGGAAACAAATTACAATCACAAGGTGCAAGATCGGGGGAATAAGGAGGGTGTGGAATCGGTTCAAACTTCAGGTTTCACAGAGCCTCTCCAGTTGCGCGCGAGGTGTGTGGACGAGCATTGTCATGTTGCAAGATAGATAGAGGTGCCAGGCTGCCTCTAACATGTCAAACTCAACGTCGGAGGTGTTTTAGAGTATGTATGTACTGAGAAGAAATAAACATTGGAACAAGGTGCAATGGTAATTGTCTGTGGCAGTGATCGGACTTCCACTGCGTGTTTCATCAACAATTGTGGCTTTTCCAG